GCCAGGACTATGCTGCTATGCCAGTCCCCTTCCTTCCAGCTAGCTCATCATGCCTCTGACCCCCTCTCGGGAAATATCTTGTTCATGTTAGCCCGGCCACAAGGTTGCCTCAGCACTTGAGGACAGGCAGGGTGTCAGGAAAACTCGTTGAGAGTGCTCAGATCCCCTTGATTCTCTCTTCCCTCTCTTTTCTCTTCTTTCCCTCTTCACCCCTACAGTTTTGTATTACAGGGCCTACACCTTTTGTACTATCCAGATTAATAATGAATGAGCCGTCAAAGAAGTTCATGATGCCCCCCCCGGGAAAATGACAACCATCTTCACCCGAACACCACTCCTTCATCATGGCTGTATCACACTGGAATGATAGCTACTGTCTTCCCACGAACATAGCGCATATTTGTTGTACTCGAGTTTTTGAAGGAAAAAAATTGATGGTTCGAATAGAACGCATATGCGTTGTATTCGAATTTAAGGGCTGTTGGAATAGAATGCACATGCGTTGTATTCGAATAGAGAGCAAGTCTGAGCAACCTATGCGCTCGTTGTGTTCGTTTGCAACGCAGATGTGTAATCTTCAGGGGAAGACGGTAGTATATATTCATTATTTGTGAGCGTTGTGTACAGGGAAAGATAGCCGGTCCTCTTTTTTTTTTTTTTTTTTTTTTTTTGGTGGGGGGGGTTACAATTTTGTTACAAAGAGGGCCTTATGGTCCCTGGTCTCCTTGCTCCTTTCTATTCTGGAGAGCAGCACTCTGGTTCCTTTGCACTTAACCAAGTCACGGATAGAGGACACCGATTACACCAGTGCTTTCCGTACTGCCCGAAGGACCCCTTGAACAGCATTGCTTACTCCTGTTGCAGGAGCATTAACTGCGAGGTTAGCCGTGGTAAGCTGCAGGGAACCATGGCAAAATCATTTACGGTTCACCAAACACGTCTACTGGCTCTGAGAACCTCCCCAATCGTTCCCGGTCTGTCTTGGCTCACACGCTTGTGAACTGCTGTATCGCTGTCTCTTATACACATCTAGATGTGTATAAGAGACAATGGTACTTGCTGACTGTACAAAGTGAGACTGGGACTGGGTACCACTGACTAAGCGAAGTTGGACTCACCACTTGCCCACTTGCCTCTGGTCTGCAGTGTATAACGTGAGAAGAAACTTGAAAGGCCACTTCCAGAAGTTTGCGGACTTGGCCTTTCAAGACCGTAGCAGCTACGACCTTGACCTTTCAGGACTGTAGCAGCTACGACCTTGACTTTTCAGAACTACAACAACTATGACACCTACACAGGTATGACCTCTACCTCGACAGGTCTAAGGTTCAAGACTCGACAACTACTCAGACGTACGACAGACAACTTTCAACTACTAACACAGGTCACGGGTTCAAGACACACAGGGCCGACTTAATACTGTACACAGGTAAGGTAAGGTAAGGTAAGGTAAGGTCTGGGGATCAAGCCCTGGGATCCGCATCTGTGACTGCAAAGGTGAAAACCGTGTCAAAAGTGTCGCCTTTCTGATGATTCCAAACCAGATCCTCTGTCTTCTGGATGTGGGTAGGGATGGCAGTCCATAGAAGTTGGATGGGGTGTTCAGGGAAGGGGGTGGGGAAAAGGGAGTCCCGAAAAGTCGGATGCTGTGGCCCAGTACTCTGTCGCCTTCCTGCAACGTATTAAGCAGTGTCTCATGTCTTCCGGTTCATTGTCCGTGCAAACCACGCATAAGTCTGAGCTGCTAGGATGGCCCAGTACTCCGTCGCCTGCCTACAACGTATTAAGCAGTGTATTATGTCTTCCGGTTCATTGTCCGTGCAAACCACGTATAAGTCTGAGCTGCTAGGATCGTTCTTCCTTCTTCTGATATGTAACCACTGATTGACTGGTAGAGCCACGTAGGCTATGAGCCATTGGAGACTTCTGATTTGACCAACCGTATTGATTTGAAAATTTTCCATGGTGTTTGTGATGTCTGAATGACATCGTGACAAACTAACTTCAGCCATCTATTTTTGAATTGTGGGATCAGAGTCCTTAGTCTTGAGTAGGTTGTACCCCAGTTAAACTGTATGTTCATGAATGTAGACAGTAGTTCTGATATTCTTGTTTTTGCCTGGTGTCCAGGCCTATTCTGCCGGATCAAATTCCAGGTCTTGAATTGCTGTGTCCATTCTAAAGATTGTTTTCGGCCACACCCCCAGCACCCTTATTTTTCTGAGCACGAACGGATTAAGCACTTTTCGTTCCACATCTTTGAGGAGAAGCCATATGTTGTAGGAATAATTGGAAAAGAGGTGAACACAGCTAGGGTGTCTGATCCCTGCTGCGTATGGGAGAATCGGAAGGCCCTTGTGGGTGCTGTTTCCTGAACCAGCACACCTCAATCCCCAGATTTCCATGTAGGGGCTTCTATCAACAACTCCTTCCACCCTTAGGGGATGCATTGGATGACAGTCAGTAAGTTTTCATCTCGTCGGCGACCAACCCTTAAACCACCAGTACCTTTCCCCGCTTGGGATCTGGGGCGCAGCGGTTAACACGAAGGGCCCGATTCGGCCTCCGGCACTGACCAGATCCGTTGGCCGCGCTTGGCGTGCAGCACCCACGGCCAATATATGAGAAAGGTACTGGCGGTTTAAGGTGGGTAGCGACCTCCTGTTATGAAAGCCAGTCCTTTTTCTCATACTTGGGTCTGCCTACCTTCTTTGGCATGATTTCCCATCATATTCGCAGCTAGGCAGTCCAGTAAGGTGTCGAGGGCCTATCCTCATTTGGAGCAGCTCCTCTTCATTGGTTTCTCCGGCCTGTATTTACCCAGAATAGAACAGACATGTTTGCAGGTACAGCTGTCAGGGCTAGGCAAGTGATGCTGTCCAGAGCCAGGTTATTCCATGCCAGTCCCCGTCTGGTCAGGAGCTTAACGACCCACTTGTAGGGCTTTTGTTTTTTGTTTGGGGTCGATAATGCCGAGTACTCCTCTGGCTGGTTTCCTTGTGATGTAATGCCACACTATCTTAGCTACAAGTTCAGTTTGTTTGGCGCCCGATCATAGGTAGGCTTTGACTTTGCCATGGAGGTCCTTGATTGTATGGTCAGGCACTGTCTAGATAGAAGCTATATACGCAAAGGTCCTTGATTGTACGGTCAGGCAGTGTCTAGATAGAAGCTATATACCACATCATTGAGAAAACGGAGGTGTTCAGCCCAACAGCGACGTAAATGTGTTCCCCCACCTGCCCATCTTGTTGATGTGGTTAGAGAGCAGGGTAGTCTGGCCGACCGTCGCCGGCCCCAAAACTGTCGGCCGCCGACCTGCCGACGTTAGGACCTGGCAGTGCCGACCGGTAGGCGACTGGTAGGCACCCTGCAGGAAAACGACAAATTATTGCGGGGTCCTACCAGGCCCATGGAGCATCGTCGGCCTCAAGAGCCGACTTTGCCTGGCAGGCCGGGCCCCCAGAAGCTCCCCACGCTTGGCACTCCCCAAACTCACCCTGAACCCCCCCAGAGAACCCCCGAAACACCCCCTGAACCTCCCCCACAGAACCCCCCAAACACCCCATTAACCCCCGAACGCTTCCCAAACACCCCCTGAACAGCCATGTACTCAGAAAAAAAGAAAAAAAAGCAGTGTGCCAACCTGTCGGCAGACCACCTACGGGTCGCCCCGATCGGGAGTCGCGCCTACAGCCTAGGGTAGGAGTTGGTCGTAGGCGCCTAGACTTACCCTGTTAGAGCGTATGTTTTGAGTCGTTTGGGGCGCGAAGCCATCTTTAGGAAGCAATATTCCTAAGAAACGTGCGGGCGTGTCAGGTCTCTCCCACGTCATGTCACTTTCTGGGTGCTGTAGTTGGGGGACTTCGTAATCAGATAGCCACCATCCGATTGTTTATTCAGTTGATCTTCATTCCTGAAGCCGACCTGAAAGCTTCGATCGCTCTTGCTAGAGCACTGTATGATGAATCAGAGGCCCGAATGAGGACAGTAAGATCATCAGCAAACATTATTACCGTTGGATAATGCAGGTGTTGGGGTGTACCCACATTGACCTCTGGTAGTCTGTGCATCGAGGGGTCTTTACGGAGGAATGAGTCTATTGCCTCCTTCACGAAGAGAAAAATTGGAGTTTAGTGAGTCCCCTTGACGAACTGAGCGTGAAATTGGATAGCAATCGGATAGCAAGCCGTTGACCTGGACATAGCCTATCGCATCTTTGTACAAAATTCGAACCCATTTCCTTTTTTTTTTTTTTTTTTGAAAAGGCCCTTATGCAAAATTCGAATCCATTTCCTTAAATTGGGGCCAACCACCATTTTCTCCATGCTTGCGTTGAGGAAGCCCCAGTTGACCTGATCATAGGCCTTCTCGAAGTCAAAGAAAAGAATAGCCGTTTGATCCTCTTTTTGGCTGCTTCGTTGAGAGTTAACCATACTTGCAAGCAGACGGACCGGACAAGCGTCCGGTCTGGTCCGCTTTGCCGCGTGCGGCACCCTCGCCCCGGACCGGACGGACCCGGACCGGACCGGACGGGGGCGTTTTTTTTTTTTGGGGGGGGGGGGGGGGGGGCGTAACTGGTCGTCGGGCGTACTTCGTGCGCCGCGCGGGTCCGGTCCGGCGGTCTGCTGCACGTGCGGAACCTCCCGGACGGTGTCCGCTTGCAAGTATGCAGTTAACACATTGTCAAGAATATACCTACCCGGGATGAAACCTGTTTGGTCAATATGAAAGCCAATGCTTTTGCTAGTATCTTGTAGGGAGAGAGTAGAGAGATGTGATTCTTAATTCTTGCTTAGTGGTATGGGAGAGTGAGTAGAGAGATGCGATTCTTAATTCTTGCTTATTGGTATGGTGTTTTTCCCTCCAGCATATGGCATCCGCCACTGGGAAAACCCAGTTTGATTTCACTTTTGCTGGTTGGTAGTCACCACCCGGATTTTGAGGTTGCAATTGGTGTTGATGGAGTGTTTTCTTATCTGGTGGCAATTTTTATCCAGGGTTGTTGGAAACCAGGTCAGGGCTCGACTTGCGAGGTACCACAGAGAGCAACAAGCTGCGACTTCAATACAGGCAGTGTGGCGCGGAGTCGCAACGAGACTGAAACGGCAGAGGTCAAAAGTAACCTCAGGCGTCTCCAGGAATCTGCTGCAGAGGCAGGATCTGGATGCAGAGGCATCTGTGTTCCAAAGGGTGGGAGATTCTGAGGGGCCTTCTCCTGTGGTGCGAGAAGGGTTTGAAAAGAGAAGCCAGCTGATTGATGTCCAGAGTGGCAATGATTTGGAAGCACTTGTCCGCAGTGTTATCAGTGACGTTAATCGGCTGAGGGAGCAGTATATGACACTCGAGGTGAGTGAACATAGAGCCAATGCTGCCCATGGCTAATTGACTGATTTTCTGCCTTTTTCCAGAAAAGTAAGTACATGGTATTCCACCAACCCTGCCCCCTGCATTAGAACAACCCCCTACTCAGTACCTGGACAATTGATTCTTCCTCCTTACTCACCCCTCGCCACATATGTGGGTCCAGTCCTCCACAGCCTGTTAGGGCTTTTTTCAACCTGGTCATTGCCAGATCAACCGGTTTCTAGTCAAATGGATACAACTGCTTACGATTTCATTACTTCTACATCCCACCCATCCTGACATCCATCCATCGCGCCCACCTTCCCCAGCTGTTGCTGCTTGCTACCTTCCTCAACACTTCATGCCATAGCTACCTTCCTTCCTGGATCTAATGTCCCTTGTGCAGTCCAAACCACAGTCCACACCCGGTTCCCCACTCCTATTACTTGCCCACACCCTGACTCCCTCCCACACACCTCAACTATTACAGCCTCTCCGTGTTCCCCCCACTGTGTTGCAGCTTGTCTGCGCCTGGCAAAAACACCCATCACAAGCATGTAGCGGCACCATGGAAGGTGTTGATGGCATCTTACTACCCTGCCTCCTATCAGACACCAATCGTGTTTGAGGCTTTGTCCGGGCTTCGCCACTGGAGCAAAGGGATCCTTCTATGGCATTGGCTGCATTAGGAGATCAGGCGCACATGGGACCTTTATTGCCTCCTTGTATGCAGGTTTAGATCACAGGGTGCAGCTTCAGGTGGCCCACTCAACAGCCTGGTTCTCAGGTTGGCTTCTGGCTGCCATAGGTCTTGAAGGCACTTCCGTGCAACATTTTCTGAACACAAGTTCATCAAGGTCATGCAGTATACGTGCAAATCTCGCTACTTCTCAAAGTGCCGTTGTCGCCCCAGGTAGGTAAGCTCTCCCCTTTGCATGCGTAATGTGTGCCAACCAGGTTGCACAGGCCGGTGGTCGGCATCCCTTGATTGGTCGGCTGCCGACCAGCCGACTGGTTGGCGGTCATCGGCACCATGCAAACTCCCCTAAACCACCACCCAACACCCTCATATACCCCCTCATACCCCCCTATACACCCCCATAGCCCCCCGGTACCCGTCCCCATCCCCAAAAGTTTCTCAGCGCAAGCTGGGCTGCCTGTGCCCAAGCTGAGGTGTGGAACACCTTGGCTTGGGTGCAGTACAGCCCTATTGTCAGATTTTAAAAAGACGTGGATGGCTGTTTACCGACTGGTCGGCAGACCACCGACCGGTCGGCCCTACTGGTAGGCTGCAAAACGGTCGGCGGTTGGGGCAGGCGGTCGGCGGGTATGCAACCCTGGTGCCAACGGCAATGACATGCCACCATGGGGCCTCCTTTGTACATGGATTATGGGAGCCACAAGATCCCTCTATGGCACAGAGGTTGTATGAGGGCAGAATGCAGGTGTTACACCACTGCAGTTTATGATCACAGGGTTGAGCTCAAGGTGCTACGCTCAACATTTTGAAGGCATCCTCAACGTGCTGGTGCTGAGCTCGACACCTCCTCCCTGTGCACCTTGAAAGCTACTCAGTGTCCAGCTTCCTAAACACCACCCCTCATGAACGGGTACACAACACAGGTCTGAGGGTCTTGATGCATCCATGTCTTATATTCAAAGCCAGCTCTATCCACAGAGGTATGGAAAAGTTTGAAACATTCACTTGCTTGTCTCTCTTTTCTTTTCTCATACAATACCAGGCATCCGATAGGGATGTCTGGTAGGCCCACTGGAGGATCCAGCTAGTGAACCTCACTACCGCACCAATAATGGGTTGTTTGTTTGAGAAGACAGATGTCGTAGATCGGCTATGGATTCCCAACAGCGAAGAGATCTGCAGTCTGATCCTTGGGGAATGTCATGATACAGAAGAACACTTCAGTTGGCAAAAGACACTCGCCAACCTGATACGCGCCTACACGTGGCCTGGCATGAAAGCTGATTGCATAGAGTATGTGTGTAGTTGCAAGGTATGCCAGCGCAACAAACTACGACGACAGCCCCATTGGGTTTTCTCAGACCCTTGCCTATCCCATCAGGACCCTGAGGTTCTGTATCCATTGACTTCATGAATACTGGGGTCAGCAGTAGGCATGGCAAGAGCCAAGTCATAGTTATAGTTGATAGATCTAGCAAGTATGCAGTTTTTGTCCCTTTGCCTGCCGAGGCACGTACTGATCTAGTTATAGAAAAGTTCTTTGATCATTGGGTCAGTGAGCATGGTCTACCGCTGTCAATAGGCAGTGACAGAGACACCAGGTTCACTAGTTAGAACTGGCAGGAACTTATGAAAGTATATGGTTCTAAGTTGTTGATGTCGTATGGCCTCTAGTTAGAACTGGCAGGAACTTATGAAAGTATATGGTTCTAAGTTGTTGATGTCGTATGGCCTCTATCCAGAGACCAACGGTCAGACTGAACGGATGAACAAGGTCCTGTATAAGTTCTTAGAATGTATATTAGACCAGATCAAGTCAACTGGGACAAGATGCTCCCAAAGGTAGCCAGTGCTTACAATAACAGCGTCCATCTAGCCACTTGTTGCACTCCCAACAAATTACACAAGTCCTTCAGACCGCGCAGACCGTTTGAGGGACTGAACCGGGACCAGATTCAGAGGCTACAGCCCGGTACTAGGGAGGTCACGCTACATCATGAGAAGGAAATTGCCAAAGTGGTAGATAACCTCAGGAAGGCCCAGCACAGAATGATGGAGCAAGCTAGCAAACATCGTCGCCCATCACAGTTCCAAGTAGGCGACCTTGTCTGGGTCAAGTTCAAAGAGTTTACTCCTGAGGAGAACATCTCGCAGAAACTGTTGCCTGCGTATGCGGGAAAGTCCTTGAATAGATAGAAAGTCAAAGGCGGAGATGACTGACCGTCCTACACCATATAAATACCAGCACACCTCCACTCTTACCAAGTTTTCCATGCGTCAAAGTTGTTACCTTGCACTACGAGCCAGCAGCTCCCATCGAGAAGGTCCATGATCGACATTGACGGCATAGTAGATGAAGATGTATTCAGGAGCGGAGGTAGAGGTCGTCCACAGAAACAGTAAAAGTCAGATTCGCCTACCAAGAGCCGGAGGACGATCGCTGGTTTACACGAACAGAACTTCTAGAGACAGCTCCCGACATAGTTCGTGCCTACGAAAGAGCTAAGAAGGGTAAAGATCCTGCTATAGATTGTAATATTCTCGGAGGACCTCGAATTTAGGCCGGCGGGAGTGAAATGGTTTTCACCTTTGTGGTAACAGTTGCAGATCCCAGAGCTCGATCCCCAGACCTCGCCCTTACCTGTGTACAGTACCAGTCAACCCGTGTGTGCTCGAACCCGCGACCTGTGTCTTGAAAGTCGCCTGTTTGTTTGCTGTAGGTAGGGTGGTTGTCGGGTCTTGAACCGTAGGTCTGTAGCCTAGAGGTCTTAGCAGTGGTAGGAGTTGTAGCTGCTACAGTGCTGAAAGGTCAAGTTGTAGCCGCTACAGTACTGAAGGGTCAAGTCCACAGTCTTCCGGAAAATCTGGAACTGACCCTTCGTGAGTCCTAGTAGACAGTCTTTTGGTAAGTGGTCAAGTGGGCAGTCTTACCTTGCTCAGTCAGTGGTACCCAGTCCCAGTTGCACCTTGTCAAGTCAGCAAGTACCGTAGGTCTGTAGGCTAGAGGTCTTAGCAGTGGTAGGAGTCGTAGCTGCTACAGTGCTGAAAGGTCGAGTCGTAGCCGCTACAGTACTGAAGGGTAAAGTCCACAGTCTTCTGGAAAATCTGGAACTGACCCTTCATGAGTCGTAGTAGACAGTATTTTGGTAAGTGGTCCAGTGGGCAGTCTTACCTTGCTCAGTCAGCGGTACCCAGTCCCAGTTGCACCTTGTCAAGTCAGCAAGTACCATGCGGGACTGTGTGCACTTCGGGCCCGGTGGAGAGAGGCAGACCAGCGACAATCCGAAGTATAAATAAAGAGCCAGCGATCATTCATTCATTCATTCTGCCTGTGAGCCGTGCAGAAGCGCTGTCGGAGCGTTTTGTGTACGAAGGTCTGCAGGTGCCCGAAGAAGAAGTGGGCTAAGAGGAGGAATTGCTATAGCTAAACTTGTTAGTAGAGAGGAGGAAGACGGCGGCCATAGCCGCCACGTCAGAGAGTCAGTGATGTTAGTAGGTGTGTATGAGTGAGTGTTTGTGTGTGTGAGTGAGAGTGCGGGACATCCAGGGAGATCCAGGGTGAGTGTACGAACAAGTTGCTGAGAGTACCAGGATCGGCCATAGCCGATCAAGACAAGTTCGAATCTGAACTGCGTTCTTGGCTTCGTTATCTCTGAGCTTTGTGTGGGTGCAAGTCGCCAGCTTGATCGTCATCTGTTTGTTGTACGCATGCTGAGTGTCAAGAAAGACAAGTCTGATTGCACTGTCGATTTTTGAAAGGTCAAGAGTCCCAGGTCAACACCGAAGGGGCAAGGGAAAGGGCAGTCCCAGTCCAGTCCGTTTTGTAGCAAGTACCAGAGTGGGACTGCATATCTTGACGGCCTGGGACATCAGGCAGGCCCAGACCACCAAACGAAACAGTATAAATAAAGAGGCAGCGAGCAGTCGTTCACTTATTACCTGGGGAACTACGCGGCAGCGTTGCTTGAGTGACTTGTGCGCTGAGTTCACCGGTGGTCAGCGAGAGAGCCCGAAGGTGGAAGAGGACAAGCGGCCATAGCCACTAGAGAGGAGGAAGACGACGGCGGTCATTGCCGCCAGTGTGACGAGTTAGGTGTTAGCGTGTGTGTATGTGCAGACATTCAGGGTAGATCCAAGTGTTGTGTAAGTATGTGCATGTGAGGGGTAGCCATGAGATGTGACAAGTTGTTTGGAGCTGAGTTCCTGGCCGAAGGCCCCATATCTCTGAGTTTTTTGTGTAGCCGCATTCCACCATCTCAAGTCTGTTGCTAATTCTGCATTTGTGGAATTTTCTGTTGCCATCAGCAGCTGCATGTATGCATGTTGAGCGTGAGGTGAAGACAAGTCTGATTGCACAGTTGTCTGTCATTTGCTCTATGTTGAAGTTTGATGGTGAGTGGTTAATGGGCTACTATTTTCAAAGATGGCTTCATGCCGTCTATGACCGAAAAGGTGTGCGTGTGACACAATTCACTCTTCGTGGACCGGGGTAGTTATCTCAATAGAGCCGCTGCCTAACTGTACGCTCGTTATTGTTTGGCTGGATATGGTAATCAATACTTATGCACTTCATTTGCGGCAGACAAAGGTAGCACTGGCAACGGACAATCGAGCTTTTCTTGAGCAAGTGGTGCGCTGCCTCTGGGATGAGATGAGAGCCTTCCGACGATGGCGAGACAGGTGTCTGCTGAAGGAACAAGGCGTTGCTGTTATTGTCATCCAACGGTGGTGGCGAGGGCACCAAGCACGTCGGGAAGTGGCAAAGATGAAGGCTGAGATTCAATTCCAGGAGGAGGTGAGAGTTTTGAGACTACAAAACACAAAGGGTCCAATGGACAAAATTGTTCTATTTGAGTGTAATTTCTTTCTTGTTGGTTTCTTTTCTTATTTATTATACCTTATTATCAGACACTTTCTTAGATCCCTTCCCCAATTCCATTAATTAAATGAAATTATTCATTCAATCATGAAATTATTCGTTCAATTTAATTACATTGCGGGTACTACGGAACCTCTGCGATCCACCTTTTTTGGTGGACTTCACCAGTATTACCTAAAGGCTGTGTTGTAACGAGATGTCGTTTCGCCTCTTGTAACTTGGGCTCATCATGCTATGTTAGCTGGTTTAAAACAACAAGCCCTTTAGGGCATACTAGCCACTATCCTTCTATGAATCTTGGTCCTCCGAATTCTCACACTGAGGAACAATCCAAGATTTGGGGCAATCAGCAGGAAACCAGAGTTGTAATTCATGCATGTTACTTGCTCGCCCATGAAGTTAGGATGCCTCCCCAGTGCAAAACTCTTGAGACTCCCAGTAGTCCCCTAGCTAGTTACATTGTTGCTGTCATAGATTTGGGGAAGTTGGCCATATTGGCAGTAGACGCAGTACCTCATATGAAAACAAGAATCAAAATATGGATAGACTTCCTCCTGGTGGTCGGCCTTAGGTGAGACTGCATTTTGCCCTGCAGATGTTTGAATTCAAATTTAAAGCCCGACCCATTTCATCTTCTTTCACGGCTATTTCGTAAGAAAGGGGTAGACCCTAATGTTATCGCATGCATCATGATTTGAAGTTTGAACTCATGATCTGTTCATAGGCATCTACATGTGTGTACTGTTCAGCCAGAATGCAGTCACCCATGAGTCATTTTGATTGTGATGATTTCATGTAAGCTCAACCCCGTACGGGAGTTGTGTGGACACAATTGGTCCCTGGCATGGCAACATATAGTGCCTTACATTTCCTTCTGTCCAGCTGTCTGATTCCCTGGGAGTCTAGCAGAAGTGAATTATTGACAAACTTCATTATATTCCTCCGATCCGACCTTCACGGAATTGAACCAGCAATCTCTTGCTCAACTGCTGGATGCCTAAACCATTGTGAGTGTGACAATGCAGAGCCATACCATCATGTCCATCCTGCCCCTGCATGGATGCGGTGTTCCATCACTAACGCACACTACCACCCTCAAGAATGGATGCAGGCAGGTACCGAAGCCCCTCATCACGCACCTACCTGGTCAGGGAATGATCTTTGGGCTCGCTACTGTGGCCCTGCGGGAAGTATGGTTTTCATCAAAGTGTAATGAGCCCGCACAGGAGAAACTCAAAACCACAAGCATCCCAAACTCCCTTGACAAGCATGCATATGTTGACCAGACTAGAAGCAGAGATGTAAGGCAATGAACACCGACTAGGAATGGACAATGATGTCTCTTTGATGACGAAACCCTTTTCTCGCGTCTCACCAGTTGATGCAAACAATGAGAGTAACAAACAGTTCATGACCCTTGCTGGTGTCTCTATGGGGCCACTTATCGTCTATCCTAGCCTACAGCCACAGAGTCCCGTGTTGCTCTCGCTCATGTCTGCTTAAAGAACATGTCACATTAGAGGTCTTCTTGGCGTCCACCAGGTAAGTCCCTTGTTGATCTTCTTCCTACTGTTTTCCTCTTCCCCGAAGGATTTCCCCTTTTAGCACCACCCTCCATATACATCTCGGCACCTTACAGCTGTGACACCGGTCGCTCCCTCAGTTCCCGTCACCTATAGTGCTGGCCGACTGCTCGGTACTGGCCTTGTGCAGCCGGCGCTGCGTTGACCTAATTCTCCTGCAGCCTGGCAACATCCTGCATCCGAATGTGTTGGATTGACGGAATGCTCCTGCAACCTGGCAGCATTCTGTCCCTGAATGTGTCTTGACCTGCCCCAGCCTTGACATACGTACTGTGGCCAGGTCCTGTTTGGTCGATAGGTACTGCCTTCCAAACTCTTGCAGGCTCGTCCCTGTCTGCTCCTGACCACCGTTTGCCCTGTACCGAGGGCATATGGGCCCTTTGCTGC